TCCGGTTCTAGTGACACCTGATCGAGTGCTCTTTCTGTTTTGATCATACTCATTATAAATTTATAAATTAGAGAACTAACAGTTTTATAGAATAGCATGGCATTTTTTGTCATAATTCATGGCAATTAAGGTTCTTTTTTGTTGATGATGGCATTTTTTTCAAAAATAATAATTAACTAGGCCGAACGAACGAATCGCTGGAGGGCATCCCACCGCGAACGACCGAAACAATCGTTGTACAACTAAACTAGATGTGGTTTTTCATGAAAACAATTACTACTTCTTTTGGTTGATTGAAGTATGGATTCCATTACTCAAGTTAGATACGATTTTTCAAGGAAACTACATGCTCAAAATTTTCTCGGGAAAGAACTAGATGCTCAGCAGATTCGTTGCAACCGACTCGAAAACAAATTCGTAAACCATCCTGTGAATGGATTGTTAGGAGGATAGTGGTATCCCCAGTCCACTAGGGTTCAAGCCTGATGCTCGTATTTTCCTGCATTTATTTTAGTATTTTCGGTGATGCGCATTTAGCGGAAGGAGATGTTCCCGTCGACTACAAGGCGCCCAGGGTGTTTTTGTAAATCACAAGATGATATGCCGGCTCAGTCTCTCGGAGGTGACCATAGAAGTAAAGTGTGCATGTGTGCGTTTATAGGGGTGAGTGTATACACTAATTGATGTGCGTTTCCGTGTGTACTATGTTAAAAAAGAAGACTTGAAGGGATAGATAGCTTGCTTTTCTTCCCCTCCGGCAAAGCGATTAGGGAAGGCCTTTCTCCCCTCAATCTCCACCAGCAAGCCCGTGGACTCGTCTTCCCTCCGCCTTCCGCTCCGACGCCTGGTGTCGGGGAGGGGATTTCCGGTGCCTCGGCTCTAGCTAGTAGATAGGTAGGGCTTTAGTTCTCGTAGGGGTGGCGTTTGGACGAATGGCGGCACTTTTTCTTCGAGTCAGCCTTCCGGGCTCCGATCCTCATCAAGTTCGTCCGTTGGGACGGATTAGACGGACTCCAGCGTAGTTTCCTGCCAGCTCATCTGGGAGGCGAGGTTAGGGTTTCTCGTCGTGCGTAAGCAATGACAATATTTGGTGTCAGGTTCTTTAGGTATGTTCAAAGATTCAACGGCGACGACTACGGCTCCGTGGCGCTGGTCCTTAGGGGCATGTGCACGAAGACTTCCCGGCTGTCATCGATAAGGTCAGACCGGCTCAGGTAGAGGAGCAGCAACAGCAGCGCGTCGACGACTCGTTCTGGCGGCGACAATGATCGTTCAGTGGTCCATATACCTCGATGTAATTTTTAATATGTTTGAGGTGTTTTGTACTTCCAATGAATTTTTATAATAGATCTGATCGTTTTTGAAACAAAAAGAAGACTTGAAAACAAAGTAGGCAGCGTATTCAGCCGTGTCGAGAGAATCGGATTCCACGACGACGCGAAACCAAGCCCACCTGCGTATTCGCTGTTGGGGTTCTCGTCGCGTCGTCATATTCACACCCACGCGCTGGTTGGGTGATACACCCGCATATTCCGTTCCTAAATATAAGTCTTTTTAGAGATTCAATACGGACTACATACGAAGCAACATGAGTGAATCTACACTCTAAAATATGTCTATATACATCAGTATGTAGTCCTTACTGAAATCTCTAAACGACTTATATTTAGGAATGGAGGGAGTATAAGTTAAATTGTACTCCCTAAGTAAAGAAATATGAGAGTGTTTAGATCACTACTTTAGTGCTCCAAACGTTCTTATATTTCTTTACAGAGGGGTATAGAGGAAGATAAAGGCAGTTGGGTTTCTTAGACGAGTAAAAATCCAAACTGAAAATGATTTGTTCTCTCTGATCTGTTCCACTTCCAACACTTGTTTCTTAGTTTGACAAAGTCAGTGATTAAGGCACCCATTGCGATGTCGGGTAGCAAGCCCACCTTCATGCAGGTACGCCTTTTGCATAAACGAACTCTTGCTCTCTCTTGAGACTTGTATCATGTGGTAGAAACAGAGAAGAAACTGATTTTCTTTTTTAGGGAATTGGTGCACATGAAGATCAGGCCATTTAATTTCGATTTTCTTGTCTGCTTAATTTTTCTTTCTTCTCCTTGTACATGTGCATCATCATGACCTGATTATCCATTTCTTTGTGAGCCAAAAGTAGTTTGTTAGTTAGGTCTTTAGTTCCTCAGGTTGCTCAATAACCCAAGAACTCTGATGTGTAGAGTTTTTTTCCTGGACCTCACCTCCTAGATCTGGTGAGTTCGCTATGAAGGTAGAGTTTTTTTATTAAAAAAAATGAAGGTAGAGCTTAACATGTCTCAACTCTTCAGGTCCACTTTGATGGTGAGTTTTACATCTGATCTGAACTTCTAAAACTATGGTCAGTGTTGTTTTTCGAGCCTTTTTTATATAGATTTATGATTCATCCATAGTCTCGGTGGATATGGTCTATATTGGGTATTCTGTATTCACTCAGATTATTTGTCTTTGTTGAGCCCTTCCTTAAAATTGTATGCACGTGTGCTTCCAACGAGTGGTGGATCATCCATGATGAGTGCGGCCACATCAATGTGTGTGGATCGTCAAGTCAGTTTCTTATTCTTAGGCAATGCAGAGTACACCCCGTCATTTTCTTTGTAATATGGATTTATTTTGAAGGAGTCCGAGCTTCCTGCTACCTTTCCTGGTTCTGAATTGCTTCCTTAATTCTTTTGTTGGCCTGTCCTAGAGAGATATATGACCTGGTGCAGATTCCCAGGGTAATTGATTTTAATTTTTGCCATGTGAGATAACTGCCATTTTTAGCTTCATATGCACATTTGTCCTTCGGTTAGCAGTTTTGTGCTTGGTTCCTTCTTACCTTAACGTCTCTTATGTATGCTTGATGATTTAAGTTATGGGAATTTCTGTGCTCAACATGTGTTGTTGCTCTTATATATCTTTTGTGAACTTAATCACAAAAAAAATGTTGTTCATATGTGGATGCACAGTATATCATACGTTTGTGTTCAATATTGTTATCTCAGTCTTGGAAGGTTATACGTCTGTTGGTAGTACATATGTAGACCCATTGTATTGTGTACAGTTTGATCTTGCTTTTGTCTTGGAAGTGATGACTTGCATGTAATAGATATTTGATTGTCATGTAACGCAGAACCAACAATGAGCTCCGCCATTGCTCATACCTGCAGAGTTCTATTTGTCGGACCAGAGTAAGAAATATTTGATGGCAGTAAATAGAGAGAGTCTACTTTCTCTTGGCCAATCAGCTTATGACAGTCACACAATAATGAGCATTCATACATATTGCCATGCTTCTGTATAAAAATATAAGTAACATTTTTACTATGTTCTTGTACAAATGTAGCTAAATCAGCCATCGCAACATTCGCAAAAAAATATAAAAAATCAACCATCGCATGGATGGGTACCATGCTGGAAGCCGGCCATCTTATCTACTTTATGTACATGGTTAGACACAAACTGTACATACATTGTACGAAAGTACACCCACAGTCAGCTGTTTAGTCTGACCATGTGATCTTCACATCCACCTGACCATTCTCCCCATCAAGGTGCACCACATGATTGCTGTTCAGGTGGGCCTGACACGACACGAGGCCTTTCACGATCTTACCATTGGAATGATTCCATAGATCCACTTCAATCTGTAGGGACGAATCCAATGGCACGGCAAGAACCGATCTAGCTAATGGGATAATCGTCGGCTCTTGTGACGACCCAATGAGTGTCTTCTCATTGTCTGTTTCAAAGAGCACGACGTCACCTAGATAACTGTAAGCAATGATCGTCCCATAGAAAGTATTATCTCGTCGTTGGTGGAGCTTCACCTCAACAATGGCTTCTACCGCGTTGCTCAGAAGAGCGTACGTGACCACTGCTTTGGGGTGGTTATCACACGTACAACCCAGTTCGGCTGTGACGGCCTCATCATGTTTTGTGGATGGATCATCAATGTCTAGAAGTATCTTAGCATGGCAGTGATCATCGATATTGTACTCGATGAGAACGCACCCATCCATTGAGATCACTCGATAAGGACCCGTCAGCAGAAGCCGGCGATCATTGCTTCCATTCTGTTTAATCACAGTGGGCAATGAAATTGAGTTAGATCTTGCAAGGTTGGCACGGGAATTCAATTTATGCAGGTACTTGGCCAATTCATTTTTAAGCAGGGAAGAAATATAGAGACAAAGAACTTCATGCACGCCATATCATTTGAAAGCAAATTGGCATGTCTTACGCTTCACATGAATGTCTTACTAATGGCATGTGAGAGCGCGGACCTGAGTGCCAGAATTTGAATGTTCGTGAGATACTCTCATGTCGCCCTGGCCACTTTGTGTGTAGATGATCTGCCCGCGCTTACCATCGTAGACGATGATGGTGCAGCTTGGATCTCCCTGACCTTTATAACGTACCGACAACACCTCCACCAGTTCCTTCCCGTATGATGAATAGTCCTGCATGGAAGGCGAACACCTTGCATTGAGGCCAATTTTCTCCCTTTCTCTATCTTTCCACCCGATATTAAGATCAAGACTCATATCCTCTTTGTCTGTGGGTACGGTGTTTGTACGCACCAGGGACATTAAGCGCTATTTATACAAAACGCATCTCTCCACCAATGAAGGATTATATTTTTTTTTAGAAAAGGAGGAGGACCCCCGACCTCTGCATCTGGACACCACGTCTGCGTAGCTTCCACTATGATCTTTGAACAATAAAAAAACACACAATTAACTTAGACGGAGAACACAATCTGCAAACATGCTTCGCTGGTAAGTATACTCCATCCGTCCAGTCTCATAAACCCGTTCTTTTACGCGTGTGTTCGATTTGCCTGCCAT